AAGCAAGAAGCATAATTAAAGAAACACTGAAGAAAGAGTGGCAGAAGAGATGGAAGAGCGATAACAAAGGGAGGTGATATTATAAGATTCAAAGGGTGGTAGGAGAAACGAGAGCTGGATAAAGGAGCAGAAAAGAAGAAAGAGTGATAACAAGGTTGGGATTTGGACACACAGGACTTAATTTTACACTTTTTTGCAGTACAAAAACACAATACAAGGAAATGTGATTACTGTGGACAAAATGAAACCATAGAACATGTTTCAAAAKAATGTCAGAAGTACAAACAAGAGACAATTTATGATAAGACAGTTCAGAAACATTAAGGAAAGGTTTGACATAACAGACACATTACAAAGGAATTTAGGGAGCAAATCATTATATGATTTTTTGAAAAAAGACAAAATTGTTTAACACAATTTGAGTCGATAGTATTTTTTTNTCTCTGAGGAATGCTTCCAGCACCTTGTTGAATCTATGCCACGAAGAATTGAGGCAGTTCTGAAGGAAAAAGGGGGTCCAACCCGTTACTAGCGTGGTGTACCTAATAAAGTGGCCGGGGAGTGTACATACACATATGCATGTACCATTCAGTCAGTGTCCGACCAGAAAACCCAGGATGTAAACACATGTTTGTGTGCGGTTGTGAGCATGCATTTATGTGCAAGATCTGTCCAATGGAATGTTTGAAAGTGACTGTGGAGGACCACAGACCCTACTCGTGCCTTCTTCCTCTTGACAGTCTTGTTGGTGTTTAGAATGTTTTGCCTTGTTGGGGAAGAAAGAGGACTTTCTTCACTTACTGACCTTTCAGTGGAAAATCARTCATGTTTTAAGCTGCTCTGCATTCTATGAAGTCGAGTCATTTGTATACTCGGTCTGCTCAAGTGAGGAAAAACAGACTGATGATGCTGGAGAAAATATTGGTTAAGGCTTTCAAGCACCACTGATTCACAATCGACACAGCAGTAGGAGAGGCTTATTACATCTGCACCCAATGAGCTTTCTAACCCTAGTCTGTCTACATCCATAAGTTTCATTATAAAAGTCTTAAAATTTTAAAAAGTACAARTCAATATAGATTTCCAACACTTGTAACACTCCCAAGAGGTCTGTAAAAGCCATCATCAAAAAATGGAAGGATTATGGGTTGTGTGTGAGCTTAAACAGCTAAACTGCTCTTGGTGGATGTGAGGGAACCAGTCATATGAATACCTGTTAGAGCGGACACCTCTGCTATGGCCTGTCAGCATTATATAAAATAGTATTATAAAGAAAAACTTTCATAAACATGGATCAATGTTCATCAGATCGGACAAATGAAGCTCCCAGTGTCCTTTTGTATAAAGGTTAATTAGTCTTAAACATATTCACCAATTAAAAAAAATTAAAATAAATTCAATCTGGAAAGACTCACACAAGACAGACTGGAATCAGGAGGTTTATTAACATGACTGGACCACATGGTTATTGACATAAATGGCATTAGAGTTTGGCGCTTGGACCCCAGCAGAGGACGAGAGCGCTGAAGCTGAAATCTCATATGAGATGCTTTGAGTTAGGGGCAGGAGATTTGTCA